TCATTATTTAAATTTAATAAAACTAAAGTTAACAATTTTAGTCTTCCAAGGCATTATTTAAATTATCTCAAGACAAACAAATTGGATAAAAAAAAAAAAAGAACAATGACTTCCACTAATCAATTTGTCTTCATGTTCTCCATTTTCTATTCATTTTTTCTATTGGCATACAATAATCAATTTTTACAAAGATGGATTTATCATGAAAGAATTTTACCATAAAAAATAAAGGAACAAAGTAGCATTTAGAATGATTATCAACTATGTCCATTAACAAGATAGTTGAAATGACACTCCTTAATTGCAAAATGAACTAGAAATATGACATTCTTCTTTGAAGACCTCAAACTAAACCATTGAGTTGAGGTTGAAAGTTGGGAAGGAATAGATCCTACATCATCAATAGTAAACTAGTCAAACAAACCAGCTAACAAAATCATCAACAACACTCACTAGATAGGATGATATCTAACCATTCATGTCAGACTCATATTTGTTGTTGAACCATTATTTTTCTGGGGAAAGAACATCCAAAAGAAGGAAACATAGTGAAACCAAGTATTCAAAGGCCAAAATAAAAGTGAAACCAAGTATGACAAGGAGAAAAACTTACAGCTAGAAAAGCATCCAAACCTTCCATAGTTGGAGGATCAATATTCTTCATGTCAGTTGAAAAAGAGGCAACAACAAATCAACACCAAGACTCTTAGATGAACTATGTTCTACGATGATATGAACCACAAAGGTAGACAAGCATTTCCAAATGTCTTATATGTCTGATAGTATGTTCATTGCAATTCAAAAACATTTACTTATTAAATCGAGCAAAAGGTATCCGTTTGCCCCTTAACTTTTCGAATTTGAGGGTTTTTACCCTCTATATTATAATACATGAATTTTTACCTTTCATATTTTCGAGTTTGAGGAAATGAGGCAAAATTTAACGGTAAAAAATCACATGCGACACTGCATGTTAATTTCCGTTATACCTTGACGTGTCAATGCCAACTCAGAATTCTTTTACATGTTGGCAAATCCAGTTCAGATTTTATGATAATAAATAAATAATAATAATAATATAAAAAAATCTTTCCCTTTTTTTTTTTTTTTTTTTTTTTTTTTTTCCTTCTCCTTTCCTTTCTCTCTCCCTTGGAACCCAATAGAATTCTTTGCTGAGAGAAGCCTCCATGGAACCCACACCGGAACCTAGGCCTGGGTTCGGTGGAACCCCCAGCACTGGGTTCCATCGAACTCGCGCCCAAGTTTGATGGAACCCAGCGCTGGGGTTCCATCGAACCCAAGCGTTGGGTTCCGCGCTGGGTTCCATCAAACCCAAGCGTTGGGTTCGATGGAACCCACGCCTGGGTTCCAGGGAACCCAAGCCTGGGTTCCAGGGAACCCAAGCCACCGATGGAACCCGCGCCTGGGTTCCATTGAACCCAGGCGTGGGTTCCCTGGAACCCAGCGCTGGGGGTTCCACCGAACCCAAGCCTGGGTTCGATGCAACCCAATGGTAAAAAATTTACTTTTTTTCTTTTTGTTTTCTGCAGGTTTTGTTTTGTTTTTTTTTTTTTTTTATGATGATGAAGAACCCCAGTGGGTTTTGTTGTTTGATGATAATGAAGAACTCAGAATGTAAAAATTGATTGAGGTGAATAGATTGGTTGAGATGTTAAAGATTTGCAGAAGTTGAAGAAATGGTTGAAGAAGGGAAGAGAAAAGTGAATAGTCGGACGGTTTCCTGGCATTCATCTGTCTTTTTTTTTTAAACCTTTAGTCAGTGGTGAGGCCCACAAATAAAATTGGTAGCAGGTAGAATTCCCGCTCATGGGGTCCAAGTTGGCATGCCAAGTTGTCAAAAAAAGTTTGAGGTGGCATTGATATGTGCATACACTTGACGGAGGCCACCGGTGCACGTGCTACATGTGACGCTCCGACGTTAAATTTTGTCTCATTTCCTCAAACTCGAAAATATGAAGGGTAAAAATTAATGCATTATAATATGGAGGGTAAAAACCCTCAAATTCAAAAAGTTAAGGGGCAAACAGGTACCTTTTACCTATTAAATCGTGAATTATTACAGCCTCCAACTACTTTACTTAAATGCTTGGGCCCATGGTTTCCACCCCCACTACTACCAAAATCACTCCTCCTAGAAGAAGAACGATACCCAACATTTGTCACTTCCCTCTCCTTAATGTCCTTTTGTCTAACCTTCATTCTATCCCTAACATCCTGTGCACAATCCTGTTCAACATCACAGCTACCATTCCTAGCATGATTGTGCTCGTTCGTATTAACAACCTCCCTCCTTGATACAGCACATTCTTGGTCCCTTAACTCATTATCATGACAACCACCATATTTCTCGACCGCCATATAGAAAACTCGAAACTCCAAAAACCCCAATCCGCCAATCGTAATACAAAAACCTCAGAAAATCTTTTTCTCAACAAACCCTTAAACCCCAAACAAAACTAGATTCCCTCTAACAATTTTTTTTTCTAATTTCACAAAAATTTTTTTTTTTTTTAAAACCTAGGATAAACAATCGAAACACAAAGAACCATGAAATTGAGCAATAAATCAATAAAACCCCAACAATTTAAACCAGATCTTCGAATTCTAAACTATTCTGTGCGAAAATTCAAAGATAAAATGGGGAACCCTAACAATTAAAACACAAATTGAGGAGGGAAACGCAAACCCTAAATCTTCTTGAAAGAGATTGAGTGGGTGATGAGAAGTATATGAATCTTGATGGAAATTGATTGGTAGAGACAACTGATTGAACAGAGCCTACCGAGTAGAAGTAAGACAGAAAAGGAGATCTCGAAATCGGAATCAAAACTAGAATCGAGTGGTTTGAGTAGCCAACGAGATCAGAGAACAGTGGCAATGTCGATGATGGACGGACGATAGAGGCTTCATCACCGTTGGTGAGAGGAGAGAGTGTAGAGAAAATTCATTTTGAAATTGAAATTCATGGATTTGAGGGTGAAATTGAAATGCACGATATTTATTCCTTAGAATTACCTAAGATGAAATACATGCATTTTACCTAAATTCAATTACCTTCTATTTATGTAATAACAAATAGTAATATTAAATTTAAAAGGTTAAAATTTAAATACACTAGTACAAATTCATGTTCCCAAATAGACAGTTAAAGATATCTAGGTAGAGATGGTCATAGCAAGGCCCAAACAATCAATCCATTGATTCATCAAATCAAAAGAATAAGCCCAAAACTATCCAGACAATCAATCCAAGTAAGAGGCCCTGTGGGGCGGGGGGGCGCGGTGGTTGGGGGGTTGTGGGGTTGTGCTGGAATGTATCGGCGGTATCGGGGGGAATGAATTTACTGGAATCATCTGGTAACTCGACAACATTAAAAGGCAACAAAATCCAAAGGGGATATCAGCTATTTATCCGTTGGATTATTTTTCGTTGTTAAATAATTGGGGAAGCAACGGACATTTGATCAATGATCACCGCCACCGGAGGAGCGGGTGCTATGGACCACCACCAACGCCACCGTAAGGACACCGAAATGATGGAAGCGGAAGCAGCCGCACAGCAGCCGGAGCAAAACGATGTAGTGAAAAACCTGCTCACTATGGCTCGCCAATTCATCAACCAAGGCAAACCTTCTCAGGCTCTCCAAGCGGTAAATTTAACCTTCTCAATTCGTTTTCTTTTACGCTTCCTGTTTAAGCTCATTTTTATCTTTCTTGTTGAATCATTTAATTTTGATTATCTGTTTGATCGTTTATTGATATGAGTTTGAGTACTCTATTTGCGTGCGGTCAGATTTAGTGTTAGATTCTATGTCAGGGTTGATATGTAGCTTGTTCGAGTTTCAAAAGCTTAATCTTGCTTATAACCTGGATTTTGTTGTGGATTGCTTTGGAATTAGAACTGACACAAGGAAAAAAATGGATAACTATAAAATGTTATTGGGGTGTTAAGAATGTCTAAAACGAAAATGTTGAGCATAAATAGGCAAATTTATTAGCTTTTGTCACTAACATTTTCCCTTTATTGTTCGCGCAATTTATATTTACTTTATCACTTGAGATAAGTTTATCAACAGCTAAGGTGTTCGGGGGGTTGTGATGTTTCTGTCAATACTATTTACATATATGGTTGTGTGATGTGTGCTTTGTTCTTCAGTAAGAGTGTAACAGATCATGCAAAATGCAGACTGAACAAAAAAAAAGGGGTCATGCAAAATTATAACTAGGTTGAGTAAAGAATCAAACAAAGGAAAGAGTTGTTTCGAGTTTTTGGGCTAATTAATAACCTAGTATATTTAAAAGATTTTAGAAGTATAAAAAGGGATTGAATTAAATATTGACTGTATGAAATAAGTTAACATCAGTTACATTGATATTACCTGATTGAGAAGGGAATTACCATACTTGTTAAAAGCGCGTGTGACGCGACTTGCATGAAGCGCGTGCCTAGGCATGCTTCAATGAACTATTGTGTGATTTCTTTCTTCCTTTTTGGATTGAGCTTTTGTAATTATGTTTCTATTATTTGAGTGTATGATAAAGTTGGTGTGGGATACATGATATATAATACTAATGTTAAAAAGGGAAAAATAGAAGAAAGATAAAAAATTAGGAAGGCAAGGGCAACTTGCATCTTCTGTCTCTTAAGCTACTTGATTTTGAGAATGTATGTGGGAAGAAATGTTTTTAGATAAAACTGATGAAAGGTATGAAGATGATGAATTTCCACTTGATCATGATGATTATTAGATGCTTTAGGCTTTAAGGATCAGTTAATAGTAGAATATGGAATTTAGACATTGCTTTAGTCTTCTCTTGTTTGCTACCATGGATGTGTTTGTTTTCTTATTTTTGTGTTGTGTCTTGTATTTCTTATATATATATATATATATATTCTGTAATCCATGTGGTATTTTTTTGTTTTTTTTGCTTTACTTAATAAGTTAATTATTTATATGTTTTTTAAAAATTATGTGACTCATGTTCATTAGATGTGCGCATATGCATGCATGTGCCTTGGGCTTTTTGCTTAGGCTCCAATTACCCTTAGCAGTTTAGTATGCCTTATGTTTTTAAGATTTATTGGGATTGTCTTTTGATGTTATTGATATCAAATTATTGATCCCCCTTATTTACCAGAGGGCTGTATTTTCTATGTTTTTTTATGAAACTTGAGTTAGAGAGAACCATAATATGTTGTTCAGAATCTACTTTGAAAACTTAGTTATAGACACTTAGAATAAGCTATTAATTTGTTTACCCTTTTCATTCCATAAACTATCAAGACTAAAATTTGCTCATTGACTTGTTAGCAATTTTTTCCCCTTTTAATTGGGATATATTAGCTTTTATGGGTAGTTCCTTTCTCACAATATAATTGTACAGCATGGTATGTATAATTGTACAGCATGGTATGCATTTTATTGACTTATTAGCTTCAGCTAGAGAAATTATATTTCAGCATTTAATTCTATCTACCATTGCACTTATTATGTACTATTTACCTTCTAGGATCATTTCATGGCTGAATTTTAACAGTGCATGTTGAGGCACATTTTCTTGACTAACACCTGTAGTTTGTGGCATTTTTATACTATTTTGAACCATTGCAAAGAACTTGACCTTGATATGATTGGGTCACTTCAACATCTTTATTTATCTTGCTCTTCCTTTTTTGAAACAGGTGGTGATGGCAATGAGAACAAGTGGTGGGGAAAATGCTGTATTTCAGTCCCTGCATCGTGCTCGTGAACTGTATATAAGTAGAATGCAAGAAAAAACTGCAGTTGATGATTTGGCTGCTCTATTTGCGGAGTGTGCAATAGCTGAAGCTGAGCCTTCAAAAATTGAATCAGTACAACCCAACCCTGCTGGCCCATCAGTTGCATCTGATGCTCGTGGAACTTCTGTACTTGCTGAAACAGGCAGAATGCAGATTGTGCTAGATGCATTCTCTGATGGGAGCAGCTTTATCTGTTTACAATGTGGAGGTCTTGTCAGTAACCATCGCAAAGATGAGCATTATGCATACTGGTGCAGCAACATGTAACCTGTTAGTACATAGCACAATGGCATGGATATTTGCTCACTCGAGTTCTACCTCCACAGCTTTTGACAGTTAAATACTTTCAATTCCAGTAGAAGCTGCTGTTACCATGCCGAATACAGTCAAGGTAGCTAGCAAACTTTTGAATGCCAAATGTACACAGAAATCATGCGTCAGTTAAGAAAATCTTTACCCATTCCATGAACGGTGTTTATAATAAGCGTATCTTACACCTTTATCGACTGAGTTGTTGTGTCATAATAATTTAAAGTGACGATTGTTCGTGGGAACAGTGATTTATCAAATGGGTGTATATGTTTCTTGAGGCCTATGCTGATATAAGTTCTGATTTTTCATTCCAAATTTTTTAGCTGGATATTTTTTCTTCAAAGCATTTATGTTGTCATTATAATTCTAGGAAGTTGTCGAAGCTTGTGCAGGGTCACGGAACTATGCTGCATTTACGCAAAGCAACATCCAGGTAAGGTAATTGGGAGCATATAGAGCTTGGAAACCTGTAATTTCTTGTATAATAATTGAAAATACTACACAACTCAGAACTTTCATCAAAATCTCAACATTGTGCTTACACCCAGTACAATTATGAAACAAACGAGCCAGAATATTACAAATCAGGGTAAAATGATGTAATAGATGCCACTAGACTGCACCTTTAATGCAAATTTCTACTGCTAGGGAGAAATTTTGTTCCCTGCAAGTGTTGTTATTGATGGAAAGTACACCAAAACCTTAGAGCTGGGCCAAAGCAGGGTGGCTTCTTTGCCAATGCATCACAGACCAACCCATCTTTACCCTCCGGGCATCTTCTTGACGTATTTGCAGAAACATCGGCAGCATCAACGGCTCTTTACATGATGCTCCGAATGCAGTAACGACATAAAAAAAATTTGAGGGCTACAAACGTAATAAAAAGAATTCCAACGTATAGCTAACCTAAGGTAGAGCTTCAGCAGCCACTTCAAACACACTGCATCAATGAGAGCAAAATATGTAAAACGTAAACGGTTTCCAGTGACAAAAATGAGTTGGGAGGTAATTCCTAGACGTAGAGAGGCAGAAAAGAGTACCTGCACGGCTGCATCCATTCCTGTGCTCTTCCATGCCCCTTGAAATGGGAACATATTTACAGGTCAAAGATTGATGTGACTGCCACAATCTGGCAACCGTAGAACATCAGGCTGTCTTAGGCAGAAGAGCATGGGGACGGTGTTTTGTCCTCATCAACGTTTCATCACTGTGCCTAATCCATTCTGAGAGTCTCCACGGTTTTTGCCATTTCCATTTGAATTGTACAAGCCACTGGTGATGGCTTCTCTTCCACCTCCATAGTTTTCCATTCCCAGCCTGTCCTATAGCTGCTAATTTTCTCATTGGCAACTGCCCAAGTGGTATCATCTGAAAAATAAAAAAAAGAAAAAAGAAAAAAAAGAAGCAAATTTAGCTTTCTTGGCAAATTGTGGGTAGCAGATCCAAACACTCAAAATTGAGATTCAGAATGAAATTTACCTTTCGAGTTTGATCTATGAATGCTGCTGACACTCTGGCTGGGCCATTAGCAATGCCTGGGCTATATTTAAGCTGTTTCTGTGCTGGCACAGGCATTGGAGATAATGGACCACTTGTGTCATCCGCAAAGTGTTTTATTGAATTGGGCGAGTTCTCCTGTTCACGTCCAACCTGAAGAGTTAAGAAGTAATGGTATAAGTACTGGATGTAATAAAATTGATGAAATGATGATTAAGAAGTAGACTGAGAAGATTATGACAACAGATGGAGCAACTTAATCAAACATTTGGCTGCAAGTACACAATTTTATCCTATGCAAGTGTTTAGTTGGCGCTCTAGATTTGATAAAAAATTGGAAGTTACTAGACAACTGATGGACCTTAGGATGTAATATTAACTACAAATTTCAAATTTTGCTCTCTTTATGTTCCTATTTCCTAGCTGGAACTGCTTTATATTATTTACTTCTATGTTTTTAGTTAGTTTGAGAATTGCAATATTTTGCCTTTGATGAAAACCAGAATAAAGTGACATGAACTCACTGAAGCTGATGTGGCCAATGAAGGAGCAACAGCTTGCTCTCTCAGTTTCAGCTCCTTCTCAACTTCTTTTCTTCGTAACTCACTCTGTTGTAACAGAACTACAAGTTCCTTAAGCTGCTCTTTCATTTCCTTAATTTCAATGTCTTTCTCCCATGACTGGCACCTATTGGCAAGACATAAACCCCCACTTAGAATGTTGACAGGATAAATAGACTCTCGCAACCATCATGTTTGAAATAATAGATTATGGTATCTTCACAAAATGTAATAAAGGATCTCCAATCTCCTACAATAGCAGCCACTTCAGGAAGATATCATTTTTGGTGGCATGTACTTCTTGTCTGTAACTTTGCAGTCTCAAGAATTTCTATTTCCATAACTTTCAATTCATGATATTAATATGGAAGTCAGAACAAATTCCAGAAGATGACGAAGATTACATGACCTTAAACATTACTGGGCCAAAGAAAGCACCTTTCATCTGCAAGAGAATTGAACATATATTGAAGCAAGCTCTTTGCATCTCCCATTGAGCGCAATTGATTCCAACGTCCGCGGTTAGTGAATGCACGCTCCCGCTCTTCTGCCTCTGAGAGTTGTGAAGCCATTGCTACGAGTGAATTAGATGATATGCTTAGCATACTCTCAAGTGAAGATATCCTAGCCATTCTTGCATTTGGTGACATGGAGGATGCCCTGGAGCAACAGTTAAAACACATTAAGAAATTCTTAGGATAGTTTATATTTAAATTAAAGAGCAAGTATTTGGGTCTAATGCAAGGTTATTGATACCGTACCATACCAGCCTGTATTTCGGCATACCGGCTGATACACAAAAATTGTCCAGTACAACTCAATTCAAATTTAAAAAGGGTAAATTCCATTTTTGGTCCTCAACTTTAATGTTTTACATAATTTTCATCCTTCAACTTTTTTATGTACCTTTTTAGTCCATTCTTCATATTTTTTTAGTCATTCTATCAATTACTCCGTTAAGTTTGTCTAAATATACACATTTTAGTCCCTTAATTTAAAGTGGATGGACAAAAAATATGCACATATTAGAAGTTGAGAAACTAAAAATGATCATTTTAAACTTGTTTTCAATTTGTAGAAATATGATGGTTTTAAAAATTAATATCTTTTATCTTATTTTAAAATTTGATATTTAATTCATAAAAATATATATTTATAGCGATAAATACGAAACGGTAAGCAAAAAATTCTTGTATCCGGTACGTACCGTTCCAGTAGCAAAACCGGTATGTATGCCAGTACGATATTGACAACTTTGGTCTAATGTGAGGGAAAAAGGAAGTACACCTATTAAGTATGGTATTTTCAATCTATGTCTGATTCATTTTATGCTACCCTTTCTTATTGATCCTAAACCTTAGAATGAAGGAAAAAAAAGGGAATGAAATGTTTCAAATGACAAAATAGAATAGCTTTGGACAGTAGATACCTAGCAAATCCATTCTTTCCTCTGGGAGGGCTTAGCCCCTTTGAAGCAAACTCATCTACTTGCTTCAGCATATCCAACTCTTCTGCTAGTGCAGCTCGCCTGAAGATTTTGTATGACCAGTCAAAAGCCTAACAAGAAATGTCAATCTAGCATAATGAGTTTATAAACAAATAAAATTCTTGAACATACACTTCGCTTTGCTTCTCATATTCAAAACGAACTTCATGCACATTCACTATGACTTCTAGCTCGTGATCCAGCCAACGTTGCAATGCTTTCTCATTGGTCTGTAGATCCAGCTTGTGTTTAAATATATTTAAAACAAATGGCAGCTACGAGAGAAGTTAAAAAATAAATAAATAAATAAATTACCTGCCCGTTCATTCCATTTCCATTTGAATTAGCTGGGGAAAAGACAACTATTAGATAATAATTGTACTAAAAGGATCAACATGTATGTGAACACCTCATGTCTCGGGCCAAGGAAAATAACCCTTCTTACATAAGGCACTCCAACATGACCATCCAAGATATTCTCTACATTGTCAAATTTTCAATGCCTTGTGTACGAAATTAGGGTTTTCAAGAAAGTTTAACAAAAAGAAAAGATCTACCTAAGTTGTCCCGCACAGAAGATTTACGAGCTTCAAGCAACTCTTTTAGCCTCTTGGTTGCCATTGCAGCCTCCTCTGTCTTTCTTTGGAGGACCTGCAAGTAAGAACAGCTGTGAATTATCACTCAACCAACAAACAAGTGATACCCATCAACTAAATCTTTTTGGTTGTGTGTGTGTTTGTGTGTGTTTTAATCCCTGCTCATTTTCAAGTACTCAAGGGTTGCACAGCAAAAGAAAGGTAGACTACCAGACTAAAAGGCCTTCATACTGTAACATATGCAAAAGAATATCAAGTACATGAATCTACTGAGAGGAGAAAAGTGGTTGTACTAAAAGGTAGTTTCTAGAAGCAGCATAACTACTGTAAATTGTGAAAAATATTAGAAAGAAAATGACATGTCAAAACTAGACTCTGGATATAGAGATCATGATCCAATGCAGCATTTTAGTCTTCAGTAAAAATTGTTTAGTGATATAAATTAAATTAAGTAATGATGTCATCAGACGCAAAGATGTGATTACCATTTTCTGGCGCTGATTCAAAGCTTGCAGCTTATGCCTTTCATACTCATTTCTTCTGCCTTCCTTCCGCAGCTGCTTGTGCATGTGTATGATCAACATAGGTAAGTACATAATAAAAAAATACTCAGTACTA